CAAACCGCACCCTAAATAAACTAACTTCCCTGGCTGGTCTTTCAATAAAAAGATGAAGGTGCATTTCTTGAATTAAAATAAAAAACAATCTTTTTTCTCCATTTTCCCTTCTTTCTTTATTTGTTTTGTAAACTTCGACAAATATTTTATTTGATATTTTTAAGGGTTTTTTCAAGATAAAAAACTACGTAAGATGTTTATGAAGACATTAAATGCCCTACTCTTAATATTTTCGAAAAGGGTTTCCTTAGCCCACGCAAGGGATGGCCCAAGAAAACATTCTAAAAATTTATATCTAATTAGGACCTAATTGAACAAAATTTACGCCGCATATTAATGAGGTAGTAGACCGAATATTGCACCCACTTGACCAACCGGTTACAAACGCGTCCATTCATTGGGTGTCTTGCGTAATGCCACCATCACCCACAACGCAGGGGTTGTTCGGGGAGTTGTCATATAACAAGGACATCTAAAGGGGTTAAGATCCTGGTGGTAGCACCCCGCCATTGAATTTGTGAGCATATTTTAGGTAAACTCATGGACCTCAATTCCTTCAGCTCTAATGCATCTCCAGCCGTATTTCATGGGAACCCATGACTTCACTCCCTCTCAATAATTGAGAGAATTAAACATATATGGTGCACCCAGGTGGAATTTGAGTGAAATGTCCATAATACTCCCAATTAATTTTAAACTGCCAATATTTTACATGAATTATTTACTCAAATATCTTAAATGTGTGGTTAGCTTAAGGGCGCGGTTTTACGATATAAAGTAAGGCCACGCCCTATACCTCCGCTAGAAAATGCGGTTCTCATGCTAAAATTATTGTCAAGGCCTAAAATCTCTTTTTTTTTCATGTTTATAAAATTTGAAACTCTAAAAATAATGTAGATATGATGAACATGAGCGCAAATGAATACTAATATGTCACAAGGCACATTGTCTTTAAGGTTTATAATCATTTTGCTTCAATATTGAATATCCTTACTTATCGAGGTTGAGAAGATAATTTCAGGGTTTTCTAATACCAAAAATATAATTTCTAGAGGGATTTTAAGTTGACCTTTTCCTTTACAAATTTTCAATATCGTGCTAAGCAAATGGCTCCTACGTGAAAAACAACATTAGGGCTTGCAATGTTTTGAGCCTGGGAGGGCAGCCCTTGCCCTAGCCCGGCCTTGGTACTTATAGGGCTAGTCCTAGCTGGGCCCTATCAGGGCCGGCCCAAGCCAAATGGAAAAAAGGAAAAAAAAGTGTACAGAAAATGGGCAAGCCGGGCCATACTTGTCTTGCTTCTAGCTCTTGCTCTAGCCCAAGCATGCTCCAGCTAGGCCCTCATGTCACATTTTGTGGTTTAGGTTGTAACTTTTCAGGGTTGAGCAGACCTGGCTGGTACGGGCCTCCAGACCCATCTCCACCCCTAGGCATAATACAACAAAAAGTGTGGTTTGCATAAAGTTGCAACCCTAAAAATCAAAGTAATGTGTACCTCCAAATTTTATCACAAGATTAATCTTGGTAGAAAAAAATCTTTGGACATGTTGAGAATCTATTTTCATATCTAAATACAAATTTTTAAATTTCAAATATGGTTCAAATGAAATAAATTTATAAACACATGAAAATCTTGAAAAGAGATAGTCCAAATAATATGTTGCAAGATGCTTTATGTTTTGGACTCAAAATCTCTTTTCCCTATACATCTCGATTTCAAGATGATCAATTAGAGGGTTTTCTAATATCAAAACAGGATTTTTTCGATTGATTTTTGATGTGCAACTTAATTCTGTCATTTAAGGGCGCATCCTTGTAAAACAAAAAATGGCATGGGCATTTTGGTGATTTGGTAATCAAGTTGGGGACATTGAGCATATAGAGCAAGACAAAAACAATTAAATGGTAGCAATCCCTAATAACGAGGGACACTAAAAGTATGTCCCTTAATAGAGCATAATATCGGATGAAAAAGCTAACTCCTAATCTACTTGAAAAAACAGGTAGGGGCTTCTCTTACCCATTGAAGTACCTAAAAAAAAAGCTTTCCTTTTTGGGAAATTGTTTTATGCGGGTTGGACTGCATTTCTACATATGTGGTCTAGAAGTACAAATATTAATCTTAAAGATGGATGCAGTTATGTGGTCCATCTAAAAATAATTGAAACTACGGGTCCAAATGTTTTTTTAATAGAATTAATAGTTCGAATTTTAAAATTTATTTATTTTTTCATATTCATGATCTCCATGTTAGAGATTACATATCCTTAAAAATTAAGTCAAAAAATCCATCTCAAAAATAGATTTATTATGGGGCCCACATTTCTACATGTGCGGGCTTCACCCGCATGATAACGGCATCCTTTTTTCTTGATGAGGTTTCTATAAGGCATGAGTTTTATAAAAACAAAATAAAACCTCACCTCTAATTATCGTCCGAAAAGCACTTTCGGCAAAGGAAATGTCCATAGTGGCTCTAAAATCAATTTCCAATACCAACAATAAAATTTGAAAATAAAACAATGGTACAAATCTTGTGGTTTTGTAACCATTTACTTTTAGGACGAAATAAATGGTCTAGATAATTTGTTACAATATACATTATTTTCAGAGCGGAAAATCCTAATTGTTTTTCACAACCATAATATTCAAGTCGAGATGATCGATGTAAAGATTTTCAAATACTTGAATTGTAATTTTGGAGGAGTTAATGAAGTGAGGCTTTACTTACTTTGATAGGTCCGCATCCCTATCAAACCACTATCCTTCTTTTAATCTTTCCTGAGTTTTTAATCTTTGGTAGGTGCACTCACCATTTTCTCATCGTGCTTTGAAATAAAGTAAAACAAAACTATT